CAACAGTATTCCTTTTGTTTCCATTTTACAACTTCACTACCAAACCCTATTCTAATTATTAAGGCCCCTGCATTACCCCGAATCGAGGGACCCTGACAATTCCTGAGATTCCCGGCGTAGAATCTGCACATGGCGGTTTAGGGCTTAGGATCAAGGGTTTAGGGTCTAGGGTCATGGGGTTGGCTGCGGTTGCGTACGGCATGCTAGCTCTCTTCTGGTGCGGTGCCTGCGTCCTATGCAAACCCCTTGCACCTCCGGCAAAACCTTGAGGCCCCGAAACTTCAAACCGATAAGTCTAAGTACCTTCAACCCAATTCCTGCCCCTGTTGCGACCACTGCAGTTTTTTAAAAGACATGTTCGCATTGAGAAGGCGACCCGTGGCCAGCATGGGATTCGGTCGCTTTGGGGCCTTGGGGTTTTGGGGTTTGGGGTTTAGGGTTTCTTGGTTGAGGCTCCAAGGTTAGAGGGTTTAGGGCTTTATTAGGAGGTTCGGGGGGCTTAGCATGTGGAGTTACAACCAAGGTCACAATGAAGATACTTAGACCCCGACTTGTTCTCCTGATCCTTCACGAAATGAGGGCTTCAGAGTTTCTTTATTTGAGGGTACTTTACTTGGTGTTATTATAAGTAGATGTAACTATGGTTACCTAATTACTTAAAACCCTACGTACTAAGTGCCCTGAACCTCCCAGCAGGCTTTTGGGGTCCTGAAACGGTCGTTTTTGCCAAGGCTGGTGCTGCTCTGTCCGTGCCCCCAGCGGGTTACCTATACTATTTTGGCGGGGCTCCTTATTATAATTATGGCATAATATACCCCCAAGCCCTATTGAAACTATTAAGGCCCCTAAACCCTATCCCCTTATAGTAGCCCTTATGGAACCCTTTCAGGAACCCTTTACAGGAACCCCTATTCTAATTATTAAGTCCCCTACATGAGTGGTGAGCAGTTTAGGCTTTAGCAGTTGAAAGTTTTTTTGGGGAGTGTTGGGGGTTAAGAACTAAAGGCCTAACCCCCGCAGTCGTAGTAGTAGTAGTAGTAGTAGTCGTCGTCGTCGTCGTCGCTGTAGTAGTAGCACGGTTGCTGTGAAATATCCTGCATTACCCATAATAAGGAATGTGCTGGGTTTAGGGTTTAGGGATTAGGGTTGAGGGATATTAGGGTTCAGGGGTTTAGGGGCATACTTCGTGCTTACTTGGCCAAGCCGCAGAAATTCGGGACTTCAAGAAGCTATCCTCGGGTGACATGTTCACGTGCCCACGGTGCACCATCAAATTGCCAAGCACCGTCAACATGAACACTGAGGCCAGGCAAAAGCCATGCTCCAGTTGCAAAAGAGCCGACAGTTCGACATGCTGCATCTCCTTGGAAATTTCGCAGGTTTCCATGACAGCCAGGACATCGTGAAGCCGAGCTACATGACCCAAGGCTAGGCACTGACCCAGCCATTGCCACCAGGAAACGCTTATTCCTTTAATTATTGGAAATGCTGCCATCATCTCCGTACTTCGCAACGGCTGCAGAGGGTTGCTCTGCAAACATGAGATGCCAGGACCTGTAAATGCGGCCTCAAGCGCTAGACTTGATCCCCTGAGAAGGAAGTCCTCGCCTCGGCCAGGATCCGGGTCCGAGGTCGCGAACCTCGGCACGTGAGAGCTAGTTGAGCGCTGCCGCTGAGCGCTGCCGCCTGCTGTTTTAGGTTCGGGGCTACTAGGGTTTGGACCTTGGTGCTTCAGGGGAGGCTTCAAAGATGATTTAGGACTGAGGGCTCAGCTACTCTCCATCATCTTGCTGAGGGCGGCTTAGACTTTGAAGACTTTAAGCTTCAAGGTCTCGGGTTTCATCTCGATGCAGTGGCGTCAGAGCCTGGCTCATCGACTCAATGCTCGAACATGCGTCGCGGCAAAAGCTGCCTCACGATGCACCTGATGCCACGACAAGTCCTAGGGCGCCCAAGTCTTGCTCCAACTCATTGAGAGAGGCCGCATGTCGCGGGTCGTGCCGCTTCAGCGTCACACCCACTGATGTGGGAATAAGCTGGAACTTAGCTTGTGGTGGCATTAACGTTGTGCCCTTGCACGGCATTTGTTGCATCAATCGACTTGCCTTTCCGCCGAGCTTGTGACTTGTTGTGACCTTGTTAGTTGTTCTTCCAAGATCCGCCGTGTCTTGAAGATGAAGATTGTTTTTGCTTTGTTTATGTTGGTTGCATTGGCGGCAGCTGCCAAACGTGGAGGGCGTCCTCCCCGGGGGCAGCCTCGGCAGCGTGACAGCAGCCGGGTGTCTGCGCAGACAGACCCGCTGCCAACGGGTCAGACCTCGGCCTCTTCGTGGAGCAATGCACAGAGCAACCTCGCTGCGGTGGCGCCCAATCTGGAGAGACCGGCCGAGCAAGCGGCGCTCATGAATGACATATTGCGCATGCGAGAAATGCTGGCCCGGGCTGCAGAGGAGATTAACAACGCCGCCCATCCTGGTGGAGTCGCGGTGCAAACTTCAGTGTCGTGCACCTCGTCTCAATTGCAATTGCAGTTGCTGCAACTGCAGTTTCAGGAGGGCGATGGTCCTCAGTGGTCGCCAGGAAGTCATGATGATGCCGAGGTACTGGGTGGCGTCAGTTTGGAAGCGTTGCGACGGCATCATGAGCTGATATCAATGCGCGTCAATGATCGCAGAGCATAGGTGCCTTTGACGTGGATGATGTGCCCCCATGTGGGCGGGCGTCCAGTGTGCCTCAACGTGCTTACAGTCCCGGAGTGCCCGCAAGTGGGGCCTCGAGATGCATTCGAAGTGGGCCGCATCATGGGTATGTGAGAGTTCCAGAGTCTGTACCAAGGGTCCTTGATCTTGATCCAAGTCTTCGAGCCGCAGTGAATCCAGTGTTTTGCAGCCCACGTCCCCATCGCGGTTTCTGAGTAGCCATGTCACGTACAGAATCTGTCTGGGGGGTCCCCCGACTCCACTGGGCAGCCCTCGCTTTACATGTATTCTGGTCCATGTCTTGATGATGTGCTCATGATTCTACATGTTTGTTCCTGTAGCTCTGATGACAACACATAACACGACATCGCACTCTGTTTGTATGTTGTTGGTGGTTTGGGGCGCAGTCTTGACATTGGAAGCCTGTCTTGAAGGAGCAAGGAGTTGATGGCATCGATGTACAGCCTCAGCGCTTCGCCTACACCCTGATCCCCTACTCCCTGAAGCAACCTTGCCGAGCTGCCCATCAGACCTTGAGCCAGTCGGTAGTCAGTAGGGGCACCTCCGCACTTGCCTTTCTGAGGATGTCCGCGCGCGCCAATTGCGAGCTGCTATCACTAGTTGCGAGCTGCCAATTGCTGCTACCACTCCGAGCGCGCCACTTGCGAGCTGCTGCCACTCCGCACGCGCCAGTTGCTGCTATCACTTCGCGCCTGATTGTCAGAAGGTTATTGCAGTTGCGTGGTATGTCGCTGCTTGGATTAAGTTATTGTTGAGCTCAGGGATGTAGGCACAGAGATTCAACAGCATTTTTACAGCTTCCCGTCAACTCTCGACAGTTCAGAGAGCCCGCAGACCGCGTCGCGTTAACAGCTCCGCACCGATACACCGATATACCCTCCCTGCCCGGATCGGCGTATCGGCGTACCGGCGTACCGGCGTATCGGCGTATCGGCGTATTTCCTGCCCGGATCGGCGTATCGGCGTATCGGCGTATTTGCCTCGTGGATCGGCGTGTCGGCGTACTTTTCCCCTCACATCGGCGATACACTGATACACCGACAT